GGAAGTAAGGCATTATTATTCACATCTTATAGATGCCACAATGATGTACAGAGAAGTGAAAATGTTTTGCCTCAAGTGGCCTAATTGGCAAGTGGCAGAGGCAGGATAGAAATCTTACCTGAGGTCTCTGTGTGTCCCAATTCCTGAGCCCAGTACCTTCTAGGTTGAAAAAGAGGCAGGGGATGTGGGGCCAAGGGAAGAAGTTACTACTGAGAAGGTGGGCAGGAGTTTGAAGTCAGCTTACACTGAAGGCATTGCTGTAGTCAGTGCTGATTACCTGGCCCAATACTCACTCTGTGTCCACCTTTCCTTTGGGAGACAAAAAAAATGTTCTGGATACCCTCCCACACTCAGAATGGTGCTAGTGATGCCAAGTCAGGAGAGATAGAAGCAGGCCACCAAGTTAAGCAATAACCAGTGACATTTTGAGTATAAAAACTTACCAGAAAACTGATAATCCTCCAGACTATACCATGCTAATATTTTTTGATAGAAATAGTTCTAGAATTAGAAACTGCCTTGAGCAGTATACTAAATGTAATTCAAAGATTTTTAATGACATGGCATCATGGTGGTGTACACAGAGTGCATTCTGTGTTAAGAATTATTTACTCTCCTTTTAAAAAATTTTAAGTTTCCTCACTTTTTTTACATATGTTTTTATTGCTTTCAGAGAGAGAAAGGGAAAGAGAGAGAGAGAGAAAGAAACATCAATGATGAGAGAGAATCATTGATCAGCTGCCTCCTGCATGCTCCCTACTAAAGATAGAGCCTGCAATCCAGACATGTGTCCTGACCAGGAATGGAACTGTAACCTCCTGATTCATAGGTCAATGCTCAACCACTGAACCACACCAACCAGGTTTATTTAATCTCTTAATGTTCGACGCTTTGCAATCACTCTTGCTTACAAAGTGATTTTCTTTCAACATTTTTTCTCCTTCCTAATTTGAGCATGTAATTTTCTGTAGTTTGAGAAATAGGATAAACAAGGTATGTAGAGTTGCATGGAAAATAGGAATCAGTAAAGCCGGAAGGCCCGCAAGCAGCATGGGAATGACCTTTGCTGAATAAGAACTGAGGAGGGCTCCTTGCGGCCACAGAGATTTTGGGAGATCTGGTTATTGGCTCTGTCCAAACGATGCTTTTCTTGAAGATAGAAAGGATTAATGAGGTCACCTACTCTGACCCTTTCTCAAGAGGAAACTGTGACTCAGAACTACTAACAGTGGCTAGCTAGTGTTTGTTGAGGATTTTTGATGGTCCAAACAATATTCTACACTTATCTCATTTGCCCTTTGCCACAGCCCTATGAACCAAAAACTATTATTATCCTTCCATAACAGATAAGAATGCAGAAGTACAAGAGGTTGAGTAACTTGCCCGAAGTTACACAGCTATTAAGTGGTTGAGAAAGGATTCAAATCAACACAACTTGGCCAAGAGGGGCCCTTGTAACCACCATGGGGCGACTTGAAGTGACCTGCCTGAGGTCAATCAGGAAAGCAGTGAAGGGCAGAGCTTAGAATTCAGGTCTTCTGATTACCAGCCTAAGGCACTGTAAATTGTGCCCTGATGCCTAAATCCAGTGTAATTACCACACACACACACACACACACACACACACGCACACACACACACACACACACACACACACACATATTCATTCTGGCTTATAAACTTTTCGGAAGTTATATTTCACATTACCTTATAATAATTTTTCATATGTGTCGGGCTGGGATGGGGACTTGGACTCTTATGCAGAATTACTCTGAGGGTAGTAATCAGTAAATATTTTAGAAAAATATATCTGGAGAAACCATCCTGAGTATCTATATATAAAAAAGGCTAAATGACTGACTGCCATCCAACCGTCCGACCGACTGACCTGCCGGTACATATGATGTGCACTGGCAATTTAAAAATAAACATTGACTCGTGCATGTACGATATTTATCCCTGTCTGACACTGGCCTCCCATTTAAATTAATTTGAAGACAGTTTCCCGTGATGCCAGCATTTGCTATGACTATTCATAAATCACAAAGACAAACTCTAGACAAAGTAGGAATATTCCTACCTGAACCCATTTTCAGACACGATCAGTTATACATTGCTTTCTCTCGAGTTCGAAGATCGTGTGATGTTAATGTTAAAGTTGTAAATCTTCATTGCAAGGAAAATTAGTCAAGCACTCTGAAAGTGTTTTTACTCTTAATGTGGTATACAGGGAGATATTAGAATAAGTTTAATCAATTTATCAGCCATTGTTTTTATCAATGTTGCTTTTATATCATGTTTTTGTTGTTTTTATATAATGTCTTTGTTGTTGTTATATCATGCTGTTATTGTTTATTTATTAATCAATTTATATATTATTTTCATATACATTTTGCTAATTTTCTTTCATCTCTAACACTTCTATTATAGAGAAAGGGTGAATAGTGATATTAAAATATTTCTTCTAATAAATTTCCTTTCAATGTCCACAGATCCATGCACCAGGCCACTAGTTAGTTTCATAATGGGAGACCAAACTCAGCCTGTAAAAGTTTTCATTAAGCTAAAAAGTTCAAATATTTTTAAGAAGAGATTTTTAGCCCAAAGTTAATAAATGGCTATTTAAGCCATTCCAATCTTTCCCAAAACTTTGTGATAGGAGGTTTCTCAAGACCTTATTTCTTCTTATCAAATTTTAAAAAGAAAAGGTAGTGTTCAGAATGTCTGCCTTTTCTGAGATTACCAGCAGTTGTCCTAAGTATCTTCAGGCTTACTGTGCCAAATTATGCTTATTTTTAAAAGTGACTGGCAGTTAACCACCATTCACATTTCTCCAGTAGCTTTTATTAATAGTTCAGAAGGTATCTACTGCATAGAAAAATTGTTGCTCTTGATGAAAATTACATTTAAGTTACCAACTTTGCAAGGTTTTATTACTTTATCAAATCAATATTTTGCAGTAGTTTCATGCATATTTATTTAACCTTCATTAATAGTGTTATAATTTTGAAAAGATTTCCAGTAGAACATTTCTTTGGTCAAGTTTAGAATGTATACCAGATTCATGTGCTTGATATTTTGGATCTCAAATGTATTTGTTTATGTTAGAAAATGCTAGCTTGGCAAAAGAAATAATAGCAGTTTTGAAAAGAAGTCAGTGAAACCTCTAGTAAGAACCTAGTAAATTAATGCATACATTCCTCCTTTTGGGCTTATGGGCTGACATATATTATGCATCACAGGAGGGAGATGGAAAGATTTCTTTCTGTCTTCCTCAAGGACTGTTTTAAGTGGTAACTCCTGTGGACCTAGTGGTATGCTCTCATCATCACTTCATAAGTGCAAGAAAGTGGTCAATTAAATGTGACTGAGAGTAGCAAAGAGCAGGCCGAGCCACAGAGGTATCAGAGAACAGGTCCTTGGCTATTTCAATTTTCATCCATCCTCCTTTTCCTTTTTTCTTCTTTCCCCTCCTTTCTGCCTTGCCCAGGCCACATTTATATTCATACTCAGTTCAATAGTACATTAGGGGCTGGTCCTTAAATAGGAATAGCGTCCTTTTGAATGAATTTGCATTTATTCCCACAGGCCCCCATAGACAGGCATGCTCATACAAACACACATGGAGATGCACATGCATACAAGCACACAAGCATATAGACAAAAACTGAACCACATTGTACAGATATACACAAACACATTCAGACACCACTTACAAAGAGATACTCAGAAATGCACACATATATATAGACAGACACACCCAGACACATATGGAGATGGACACACATATGTAGACACATGCATGTATGGAGACAGGAATACACAAATAAAGACAAAGACACAGCTGAATGTGTAGGCCCTTCTTATTAAACCAATGATTACAACTACTTCAGTGAGACTTCTTTCACTCAGTGTGGGACATAGTAGTGGTAGCCGGAAACTAGGATGTATGAGTTAGGCTAGGTGTAACCTTCTACCATTTGCACTGTAATTATCTTCACACGTCACAGTATGAGAAACACCTCCTTGGATTGCTCCTGAAGCCAGTGGCCTCTATGACCACCGAAAGCAGGACTCGCACTGTGTTTTAGTGCAGAGTGGGAAAGCCATGGCCGGAGCAAGGGGACAAAGACCTGCAAACATGCAGTTGCCCCGACTCCGCCTCTTTCTGTGAAATCTGGAGCCATACTCCTTCGCATGTTTGGACTGCCTGCTCTGAAGGGAAGAGAGGCAGAGACAATCAGACTGAGGAGAATATGAAGTAGAAACAGGCCCTGATCGTTCCCAGACACGTGGAGTTAAGTTTCTGAATCATAAATGTATTTGGATGCGCCTTATCTAATTACAATTTCACAGCTGTAACTTTCTTCTTTCAGTCAGCATGCCTATCTGAGTTTCCATCTCTGTATCGCTCTAACAGATCTTTCTGAAACAACTTTCACCATCTTATGGAAGTACTTCCTTTCAAAGCTGATTGTTAAGTCCAGGGAGTTCTAGCTTATGTATTCCCTATTTCCCAATTGAAGTTCTGTCCAAGATACTGTTTCCTAGCATTGCGGTGTGTTTTGACTGGTTGAGTGGGAACATTCATTTGCTTTCTGAAGTGACAGTGGACATGTAAGTGCAAGATAGATCTGATAGTGAGGAGGAAGGGGAAAATCCAATAATAGATATAAATAGTAGCTACCTCTTCTTTTTTTCTTTTTTCTTTTTTGTCAACAGGTTGTAGCTACTGCTTATTGATCATCAATTGTGTATTGGCCTCTATGCCAGGGGCTTTGCATATTATTTTATTCCTCACAACAACACTACAAGGCAGGAGGTTGTTACTTACATTATATGGATGAGGAAACTGAGACTCCATGCTTATTGGATATTTGTTCATAGGAGGTTTTAGATGTAAAAAAATTTGAATGGGTTTAGATTCTCAGAATATCATGGATCTAGGAAATCACTTCTCAACTTATTTATGATTTTTTATATGGCTCTTTTATGTTTAGAATTTTTGCCTGGATCAGAATTTACAAATGTTCTAACTGCAATACAACTTTGCCAAGCAATGTTCCTACACTCTTTACAGTGGAACAGCAGAAGTTAAGAGGGTATATTTGGAGTCAAGCTGTCTGGATTTGAATTCTGACTATGCCACTTATCTGCTGTGAGACCTTGGGCAAGTAAGTCATTTAACTTTGTTGTACTCTAATTTTCTGGTCTACAAAATGGGTTGATCACAGCATCCACCTCATTGAATTGTGCTGAGGATTGGATGAGGTGATCTGGGCAACACTCAGAACTGTGCTTGAAATGTTTTAGCAACATGTTAATGTCAGTTATTATTATTATTTTTTTATGTTAGTCACAATTTTGGTTCTTCATTTTCTTACAAGTTACTGGCATGTCCCTTCTTCAAATGTAAATGTGAAGGGAAAAACATTAATACACGTCTCAAAGAACTGAATGCCCCCTCGCGAACAGAGCCCATGCAGCATCTTCATTATGTGAAGAAGGACTACAGAGAGTGTGTGGTCCTATGGGGCCCCTCAACCTCAGACATATCTGATTAGCTAGATTATCTGGTTGAGCTTCTGAGAGTAGTGGAAGCAATAGGAGTGTTCAGGGCCATGTCATTACTTTTGTTAAATGGAATAAAACTTGACTAATAGCCTATGACAATAAGTCAGTCAAACTGAGACTTGACTAAGAGACTGGTCATAGTAATGTAGCAAGAAAAATGAGCAAGACATTTGAATGGCAATGTTGTGTGGGTGGGAGGCTTGTTTTTAAGTAACTGATGTTATAACTTTATTGCACTATTATTTCAGTCAAGAGAAATATCTGTGTAACAAGCTAAGACAGCGCTCTAAAACAATATATGCTCACTGTTTTTCCCCTCTATTACTTTCACCCCCTTCCCTTTCTTTCCTCCCGTCTTCCCTCCCTTCCCCGCTCCTGCTCCCTCCACTATTTTTTTCTTTCTTGTTGAAAGTCAACTCTTCTACATTTGTGATAGCCAATGAAACAACCTTGGTAACCTATGTATTATAGGCCGTTGCAAAAGTGTAGGTTTGTTTCTATCTGCCACAGAGTTAAAGAGACATTCTTGTCAGCACTGAATCATAAAAAAAAATGTACGGTGGGTAAATTGTCTGAACACATTAAATCAATGCTAGTAACAAGTATAGAATTGCGGAGAAAGTTTGGGCTAAAACAGCTAGACATAACAAAGGAACTTTAAAAAAATGACAAGTTGACTGCAGTCTTCACTTCTTCATGAACTTTGTTTTTGTGAATCTGTACTGACTTGTTGCAACCACCATTACTGTAATACTGGAATGGTAGACAAAGGAAAACAGAGCATGATTATCCAGTGTGCTCAGGGATTTCTTAAACACCCCTGCCTTCTCCTCAGGATAGATGTCAGCAAATTCAACCCCGAACATTTTCACAGGAAAGGAATAAAACAAATTAAAAACCTAACAAGAAGAAAAATACCACTTAACGTGTGTTTTTATTGCCACTTCCTCTCTGATGATGGGTTCACCTCACAGCTTTGCATTGGTTAGAGAGTATTTTAAATGAATTAGGGAGAGTCAGGAACAATGAAATGTCAGGGTAAATTCTTAATATCAGAAATAATTATTGTCCTACCTTCAACTGTTCACAATCCATAATTTATTTCTTTCCCAGTCATCTTAAGAGCCTGTGATCTTATTTTTCTCAGAAATCCTGAAGGATGTACTTATTGCTATAGTTATACTTAAGTTGTATACCTTTCATGGGACCCCCCCCCTTTTTTTTTTTTTTTTGGCAAAGACATTCCGAGTTTAAACCCTGTCTACTCACAGAGATTATAAACTCCTTGAAGGCCAGACCGTATCTTTTACTGATTTTATCCATGTGCTAGTCTCCTATTTACAATAATAGGTTCTCAATAGGTAGTTGATGTCTGAGTGATAGTAGATAGGCAGATCCTCTTTTCCATGTGTCTTGGGACAACAACAGCGGGACAGGTGTCTGCTTTCCAGGGGCTGTGTGGTTGGCATTTACTGGACTTTTCTGTTGTCCACTAAAGGAGAACAAGATGCCAGCTCCCCTGTCTGATCCAACCTTCCCCTGTCCTAGACATGCAATGTTCCCATACACAGAACTAATCACAATTGGAGCAATTCCAAGTTTGTTTCCCTCAGGAGTCCATGAGAAATTACTCTCTTGTCTATAAATTCTCAATGGATTTACAACTTTGCCTTGCTTATACTGGTGGCTTGGTAGGGGTGGGGAATAAGGACATGAGAATGGATGAAGAATAAGCTCTTTGGGTTGCTATCTGATCTCCTCCCCACTTTCCTGCAGCCAAATCCAGGGAAGTGAAAAAGAGGCAGACAGAACTTGAGGGTTAAACCTTATTTTCACAACAAATGAGGCTCTCTGAAGGTCTCAAAGTGTTGTCTCTGTCTATAGAAAAGAAAAAAAAAGTGGAGAGGCAGCTACATCCCCTTTTAATCTCCACTTGGAAATAGAATTAAAGTACTATCACTGACTTCAACCTATGAATATCATCTGAACAATTTTCCAGACTCTCGCTTTTTAATTTGAAAGCCAATCTTTTAGTGGGAATGTTCAATCACAACATACAGGTAACAAATAAGCAAACAGACAAGGCTGAATTTATCACTGAGTGTTCAGGTCATCTGCTAACCGTTCCAGGTATCTGATTCCAAAGCAAACATATCATATAGCTATTAGGATTCCCTAGAGGCATTTAAGCGAAGTGAAAGGGCAAGCAATGATCTGTGCAGATTGCCACTGCAGTCAAAGTCACTAAAATTTCTGGAGGTGGGAATTTCTTTTTTTTTTTTTTTTTTTTTTTTTTTTTTTTTTTTTTTTTTTTTTTTTTTTATCCCCCCGCCCTAGACAGTCCCCTAGCCTCCCCTATCCCCCAATGTCTTATGTCCACTGGTTATGCTTCTATGCATGCATACAAGTCCTTTAGTTGATCTCTTACCCCCCTACCTCCTGCCCCGCAACCCTCCCCGGCCTTCCTGCTGCAGTTTGACAATCTGTTTGAGGCAGCTCTGCCTCTGTATCTATTATTGTTCAAAAGTTTATAATGGTCTCTATTATCCATGAATGAGTGAGATCATGTGGTATTTTTCCTTCATTGACTGGCTTATTTCACTTAGCATAATGCTCTCCAGTTCCATCCATGACGTTGCAAATGGTAAGAGTTCCTTCCTTTTTAGAGCAGCATAGTATTCCATCGTGTAGATGTACCACAGTTTTCTAATCCATTCATCTACTGATGGGCACTTAGGCTGTTTCCAGATCTTAGCTATGGTGAATTGTGCTGCTATGAACATAGGGGTGCATATATCCTTTCTGATTGGTGTTTCTGGTTTCTTGGGATATATTCCTAGAAGTGGGATCACAGGGTCAAATGGGAGTTCCATTTTCAGTTTTTTAAGGAAACTCCATACTGTCTTCCATAGTGGCTGCACCAGTCTGCATTCCCACCAGCAGTGCACAAGTGTTCCTTTTTCTCCACATCCTCTCCAGCACTTGTCGTTTGTTGATTTGTTGATGATAGCCAGTCTGACAGGTGTGAGATGGTACCTCATTGTTGTTTTGATTTGCATCTCTCGGATGATTAGTGACTTTGAGCATGTTTTCATATGTCTCTTGGCTTTCTGAATGTCCTCTTTTGAAAGGTGTCTATTTAGGTCCTTTGCCCATTTTTTGATTGGATTGTTTATCTTCCTTTTGTTAAGTTGTATGAGTTCCCTATAAATTTTGGAGATTAGGCCCTTATCGGATATGACATTGGCAAATATGTTTTCCCACACAGTGGGTTTTCTCGTTGTTTTGTTGATGGTTTCTTTTGCTGTGCAGAAGCTTTTTATTTTGATGTAGTCCCATTTGTTCATTTTCTCTTTAGTTTCAAGTGCCCTAGGAGCTGTATCAGTGAAGAAATTGCTTCGGCATATGTCTGAGATTTTGTTGCCTTTGGATTCTTCTAGAATTTTTATAGTTTCCTGTCGTACATTTAAGTCCTTTATCCATTTTGAGTTTATTTTTGTGTATGGTGTAAGTTGGTGGTCTAGTTTCATTTTCTTGCATATATCTGTCCAATTTTCCCAGCACCATTTATTGAAGAGACTATCTTGGCTCCATTGTATGTTCTTGCCTCCTTTGTCAAATATTAATTGAGCATATTGGTTCGGGCCAATTTCTGGGCTCTCTATTCTATTCCATTGATCTATATGCCTATTCTTGTGCCAGTACCAGGCAGTTTTGAGAACAGTGGCTTTGTAATACATCTTGATATCTGGTATTGAGATCCCACCTACTTTGGTCTTTTTCAGGATTGCTGCAGCTATTCGAGGTCTTTTTTTATTCCAGATGAATTTTTGGAGAGTTCGTTCTAGATCTCTGAAGTATGCCGTTGGTATTTTAATGGGAAGTGCGTTGAATTTATAGATTGCTTTGGGTAGTATGGACATTTTAATGATGTTGATTCTACCAATCCATGAACACGGTATGTTCTTCCATCTGTTTATGTCTTCCTCTATATCTTTTTTCAATGTCCTGTAGTTTTCTGAGTAGAGGTCTTTTACCTCTTTAGTTAAGTTTATTCCTAGGTAGCTTAATTTTTTTGGTGCGATGGTAAACGGGATTGTTTTTATAATCTCTCTTTCTGGAAGTTCACTATTGGTGTATAGAAATGCCTCGGATTTCTTTGGGTTAATTTTGTATCCTGCTACATTGCCAAATTCATGTATTAAGTCCAGTAGCTTTTTGATGGAGTCTCTAGGGTTTTGTATGTATAATATCATGTCGTCTGCAAATAAGGACAGTTTTACTTCCTCTTTTCCAATTTGGATGCCTTTTATTTCTTCTTCTTGCCGAATTGCAATGGCTAACACTTCCAGTACTATGTTGAACAGGAGTGGTGAGAGGGGGCATCCCTGTCTTGTTCCTGTTCTTAGGGGAAATGGTGTTAGTTTTTGTCCATTGAGTATGATGTTGGCTGTGGGCCTGTCATATATGGCTTTTATTATGTTGAGGTATGATCCTTCTACTCCCACCTTGCTGGGAGCTTTTATCAAAAATGGGTGTTGAATTTTGTCAAATGCTTTTTCTGCATCAATTGATATGACCATGTGGTTTTTTTCTTTCAATTTGTTTATGTGATGTATCACGTTTATTGATTTGCGGATATTGTACCATCCTTGCATCCCTGGGATAAATCCTACTTGGTCATGGTGTATGATCTTTCTGATGTACTGCTGGATCCGATTTGCTAAGATTTTGTTGAGGATTTTGGCATCTATGTTCATAAGCGATATTGGCCTGTAATTCTCTTTCATTGTGTTGTCTTTACCGGGTTTTGGTATTAGGGTGATGCTGGCTTCATAGAATGAGCTTGGAAGTGTTCCTTCCTCTTGAATTTTTTGTAGTAGTCTGAGGAGAATAGGTTTTAGTTCTTCCTTGAATGTTTGGTAAAACTCCCCTGTGAAGCCGTCTGGTCCTGGGCTTTTGTTTGCTGGAAGCTTTTTGATGACTGCTTCAATTTCTTCCATAGTTATTGGCCTGTTGAGATTTTTAGATTCTTCCTGATTGAGTTTTGGAATGTTGTATTTTTCTAGGAATTTGTCCATTTCCTCCAGGTTGTCTAGTTTGTTGGAGTAGAGCTGTCCATAGTATTTTTTAACAATCATTTGTATTTCTGTGGGGTCTGTTGTTATTTCGCCTCTATCGTTTCTGATTTTGTTTATTTGGGTCCTCTCTCTTTGCTTCTTGGTGAGTCTGGCTAGAGGTTTGTCAATCTTGTTTATCCTTTCAAAGAACCAGCTCTTGGTTTCATTGATTTTCTGTATTGTTTTTTTGGTCTCTATGTCATTTATTTCTGCTCTAATCTTTATTATCTCCTTCCTTCTGCTCACTCTGGGGTTTTCTTGTTGCTCTCTTTCTAATTCTTTGAGTTGTAGAGTTAGATGATTTACTACCATTTTTTCTTGTTTGTTGAGATAGGCCTGTAGAGCTATAAACTTCCCTCTCAGGACTGCTTTCATTGTGTCCCATAGGTTTTGGATTGTTGTGTTTTCATTGTCATTAGTTTCCAGGATGTTTCGAATTTCTTCTTTGATTTCATTGGTAACCCAATCAATATTTAATAGCATGCTATTCAGCTTCCAGGTGTTTGAGTATTTTGGGTTGTTTTTATTGTAGTTTATTTCTAATATTATGCCATCGTGGTCTGCGAAGACGCTTTTTATGATTTCAATTTTCTTGAATTTGGGGATACTTTGCTTGTGACCCAATATATGGTCTATTTTTGAATATGTCCTATGAGCATTTGAGTAGAATGTATATTCCCTGGCTTTCGGGTGAAGTGTTCTGAAGATGTCTATTAAGTCCATCTGATCTAGTGAGTCATTTAGGATTGCTGTATCTTTGCTGATTATTTGTCTAGAGGACTTATCCAGTGCTGTCAGTGGTGTATTAAAGTCCCCAACTATGATTGTATTGTTGTCGATGTCTCCTTTGATATCTTCCAGGAGTTTTTTTATGAATTTGGGTGCTCCTGCATTGGGTGCATATATGTTTACCAGGATTATATCTTCTTGTTGTATTGATCCCTTTAGTATTATGAAGTGGCCTTCCTTATCTCTTGTTATGGCCTTCACTTTGAGGTCTATTTTGTCCGATATAAGTATTGCTACCCCAGCTTTCTTTTCCTTTCCATTTGCCTGAAAGATATTTTTCCATCCTTTCACTTTCAGTCTGTGTGAGTCCCTTCTAATGAGGTGGGTTTCTTGTAGACAGCAGATGTATGGGTCATGTTTTTTTATCCATTCAGCCACTCGATGTCTTTTGTTTGGAGCATTTAGTCCGTTTACGTTTAAAGTTATTATTGAAAGGTACTTGTTTGTAGGCATTTCTGTTTTTGTGTGGCTGTTTTCTTTCTGAGCTTTTTATTTCTTATTTTTATACCAGTCCCTTTAGCATTCCTTGCATTGCTGGCTTGGTGGTGATAAACTCCCTTAGCCTTTTTTTGTCTGTGAAGCTTCTTATTTCCCCTTCAAGTTTGAATGATAGCCTTGCTGGATAGAGTATTCTTGGATTCAGTCCTTTGCTTTGCATCACTTTGTAAATTTCCGTCCATTCTTTTCTGGCCTGATGTGTTTCTGTTGAGAAATCATTTGACAGTCTAATGGGAGATCCCTTGTATGTAACTTTCCGTCTCTCTCTTGCAGCCTGTAAGATTCTCTCTTTGTCCTGAACATTTGCCATGGTAATTATGATGTGTCTTGGGGTGGGTCTTTTTGGGTTCACCTTGTTTGGGACTCTCTGGGCTTGTGTGACTTTTTTCTTCCCCACCTCAGGGAAGTTTTCTGATATTATTTCTTCTAATAGGTTTTCTAATCCTTGTTCATCCTTCTGTTGTTCTGGTACCCCTATTATTCGTATGTTGTTTCGTTTCATGTTGTCCCAAAGCTCCCTTAGGCTCTCCTCCTGTCTTTTCATTTTTTTCTCCAATTGCAGTACATTTTGGGTGTGTTTTGCTTCCTTGTCTTCTAAATCACTAATTCGGTCCTCCGCTTCTCCTAGTCTACTGTTGATACTTTCAATGGAGTTTTTCATTGCAGCTATATCACTCTTTATATCTTCTTGGGTCTTACTTAAGTTGTTGATTTTTTCATCTGTTTCTTCTAGCTTCTTCCATATGTTATCGATTTTTTCATCTGTTTCTTCTAGCTTCTTCCATATGTTATCGATTTTTTCATCTGTTTCTTCTTGCTTCTTGCTGAGGTTGTCGATTTTTTCCTCCATCCGGTTTATGCACTCTAGGACCCTTATTCTGAATTCTTTTTCTGTCATGTTGCATGCCTCTGTATTACTTAGCTGCTTTTCTGGAGAGTCCTCCTTCTCTTTCCTTTGGGGGTTTCTTTGTCTACCCATGTTTGATCTCACTGACATATCTAGACGTTGAGTCGTTCAGTGGCTGCTCCCTTGGTGGCAGTGACTCCTTGGTCTGCGGTTCCTCTTCGGGCGGTTGCGGTAGCAGCTGCTCTTCAGTTGGCAGCAACTCCTCTGGTGGGTGCTGTTCACAGCTGTGGTGGCTCTTCTGGCTGGTGGGGTGAGGTTTCACGTACAGCTGCTGTTCCTCAGCAGAGGGTGTGGTGCTCAGGAGGTTGCTGTTGCTTGGATCTGCTGTGTTGATTTAAAGGCACAAAATACAACACAACAAGGAACCACGTACCAGGCACTATACACAAATATATTCACGATATTAATAACCCCAAATAAAGGTGACCACCTGAATTAAGAGAATTAGGGGATAAGGAAGAAGGAAGAGAAAAAGAGAAAAGAGAAAAAAGAAAAGAAAATTAGGGACCAAAAAAAGGAGTGCAAAAATGAAAGTGGGAAAAAGGAGGGGGGAAAGTAAAAGCGAGAAAAGAAAGGAAAAGAAAAAAAAAGAGCGAATAGAGAGAATGAAGTGGAAGAGGGGAAGAGACTTTTTATATGAGGAGAATACTCCTATAGAACAACCATTAATCCCAACAAATTCCAGCAACAGCTCCCTGGAGATAAATGCAAACTAGAAACAACCAATAATATAACGATGAAAATAGAATGGAGAACACTAATCCCAAAATAAAATAAAGAGAAAATAAAATGGCACTTTAAAAAAAATGGTAAAATGGTAGCAGTAATAATACTGGTTAAAAATAAGAAGGTAGTAATTAAAAGGGTAAAATCAGGTGATGGAAAAAAGAAGAAAAAAAAAAAAGAAGAAGAGGAAAAGAGAAAAAAAAAGAAAAAAAATTGGTTTCTTAGTTAAAAGGTGAAAAAAGAAAAAAAAAAAATATTGCAGTAGTGAAGGTCCTTCGGTTCTTCTATTTTTCCGTGTGGCTCGCCTTAGACCTGCCAGGTATTCAGGAGAGTGTTGAGTTTCCCTGCGATACACTGTTCCTCTGTGTTGTAAACCACAGTCCTTATTTTAAAGCAAGCCGCATTTGTTTCCCAGACTGCCTTATTTTGTGTTTAGCAAAGAGTCAGTTTGTGGGTCAGCCTCTGGGTGGCAGTGTTCTGGGGATGGCCTCTGAGGCTACAGGGCCTCTCTGTCCAGTGGAAGTTCACTGCCCAGAGCTGGCTGCGTAAGAGTTACCAGTGCTGTGTTGTTGCTGGGATTGAAAATCCCTCTATAGGCCAGACCCTGTTAACTCCCAGGGACTGATCAGGTTATTTTAATCCTTGATCTCCTACAGGGTGGAATCTGGGTGTGGCTGTGCTCCTTGCCTGGGGGCTGGGGGGAGGAGTCTCACTCTCCGGAGAGAATGGCTGCCTCAGCCCTGGGCTCAGGGGTGGCTCAGCACTCAATTCGCTGCCACCTCTCCCGGCCCCCCTTCTCTCCTCAGTCTCTCCCCAGATTCCACTGAGGTGGGAATTTCATTCGGCTACTTTTGCATTAAATTATTCATTAGGGTTTTTTTTTTTTCTTTGTGAAATTTTATGGAGGTGACAATTATTTAACTGGATTTACAGATAAAACTAATAATTACAGTAATTACTACTGTCTCCCTGATTGCCACTAGGTCTTGTTTTTTCTGGGACAGTGTCCAGCCTCACGGATCTGAGTCTCTTCCAGCTCCTGTGAGTACCTCAGTTTCTTTGTACCAGGGTGATATGAAGTTATTGGTTTATTGAATATTAACTTTTTTTATGCATCAAAACAGTATTATTGCTAGTGCTGGTAGCAATTTATTCAAAAGAATTCTCTAATTCTCTGGAAAAATACTTAGAATATTAACTGCATTATGAGGTGAAAGGTTGTTCATCTACACCCCAGTATGTCAACTTTGTGTGTATTTGGTGGATATAGGGAGTAGAAAGGGCCATTTGACCTATAAGAGGTATTATGTTAGAAGAGCTTGTATAACCTAAAGTTTGTGTGACCCATCCTTTTTTATTCCCTTGTTTGTTATGTAGACTAGTGCATAGGCAACCTGGATAATTTTGCATTTTATACAGAAAAAAATCAGAATTATTCATCATTGTGGTGTATGCTATAGTTGGGTACAGTTTTCTTAATCAAAACATGAAACAAAAACCATTTTCTTATGCTATATTTATTGAAATTTTTTTGGCTTTATAAGTATATTATTTCCAATACAGAAGTAATAGTCCAGAAAATAAAGCACTATATTTTATGACTATACTATCCCATCTCGCTCAGAGCATCGTTTATCTTTAGAATATCTTGGGTGTCTACAGGACTATCTGTATACATACACATGTTCCTTAGGCTCACATCTAGATGACATATTAAATTCATGGCACCAGGTAGATTTTAATGAAATACCAAGTAGCTACTGGATAATTACTGGTAGATATCCTTATATGATTGAATAATTTTTATTTCATTTATTTAACAATTTTTTACTGTTATATTTGAGATTCGTTTGTTACAGTTTGCATGCTGTTCCTTTCCTAAAGTTTTAGCGACAGTGTTTAAAAATGTTTACATTTGTGTGTTTGTGTATGTTCGAGCTAGACACCAGCTACTGATTATTGTGCTATCTCTAAATCTATACACCAGACCTCAGGAAGTCTCTAACAAAATACATCCTTGCGCTTCTTAGGGGAATATAATAAAGAACTCTCTCTACAATTCTTGGGCATTTTGGTATTTTTTTTTTCCAACATCAAATCCATTCCAATTAAGTTGGATTCCTCAAATTTGCTTGATCATAAGCAGTACCCGGGATGCTTTAAAAAACTGTATGTATTCAGGACTCTCCATGAGAGATTTTGATTCCTTAACTGCAGGACTGTGCTCAGGTGTGTGTGTTTTTAACAATCTCATCCTATGAGATTCTTAGGCTTACACAGTTTTGAAAACTGCTACTGAATGAACACTAAAGTCAGTATATGTTCAGAAATAAGGTGTTTGTGCAGAATTGAGCTGATTGAGTTAGCTTAAGTAATTTTTAAGTTAAAAAGTTAAACATTCTACCTATGTCATAAAATTGGGGGAATTTTTTTTTTCCTTTTGGCATCTGCAAAACCGTAACTTCCTAGAGGGCTATCCAATGACTGACTGTATCAGGATCTCTAAGACCATGTACCCCTGATTCTCCTTAAAGTTACTGAAGATGAAACAATCTCAGACTTGTGGCTAAAATGACTGAGTTCACTCAGTCACCGCCTCATGGTCCACGTACCTGGCAGAAACAGATTCACAGGACATTTTCAATGTCATCTGATAGCGTTCTGGCTCAGTTTATCATTGAGCTCATGGACACGATCTGGGAGATTAGTTTGCAAAAGTTTTAATCACTTGTGAAAATTTAGAATTATGATGGCAGAGGGTGGAAATGACTCTGCCTTCACGGGCGACCCCGTGAATATTGAACTGCTGTTCTTCACTCTCCTTGGCACTCTATTGTGAAACAATGGCCAAGCTTGTTTTTCTTGCCCGAGTTCACCACAGCCTAGCCCACGTGGACAGAGACTAAACCGACTTCCTTAAAGCACACACAAAAAAGTTGACTGGATGTTTTTCCCTCAATTTTCGCAATTTTATTAGTCTTTAATAAGCATTTCCTCAGAGCTTGGCGGTTTCTGAAAGTTTTAAAATCATTTTTACTAGCGACTTCCAAGGCACACCTGTGTGGTAAGTCTGTGTTTTCAGCCATGTTTTTACAGGACATGTGTGACCCAAAATACAAACAGGCTCTAAACCACAGGGAGAAAGAGAGGGCTTGCCTGCTTGTTCCCGTTCGGCATTATGTAAGCTGTGTAAGTGATGTGGTTCCAGCGCGCAGGTGCTTTAGTTTCATTGTCTCCGTAAAGACAGCTTCCTCATAAATATGATTTACGGTAAGTTTGGGAAGGCAACTTCTCCAGCTGAGTAAAAATGAAGGCATAGCTTAAAAACAAAATTAAACAACCACGACAATCTTCCAAAACAACTACTGCGTAGTTCTAGTTGTTGGGAATAAACTCAGCAATGGGAGTTGTCTGTTCAGACATATGACAAATTAGTATAATGATATAATGACTCGTGTACAGTTTTTCTTTGCACGGAGGGTATTTAATGGACTGAAATGTAAGCTTATGATTAAGATCTAAGACATTTTATTAATAACTTTCTGATTCTTCACCCCACTCCTAGAAGCAGTTCTTTCCATTCGGCCCCTTGGAGCTCTCACAGAAACTAACAATCACAATTCCATATGAGGTTAGAATATTTCATTATTTACCCCTTCTCTATCTCAAAACCTTCTCCAATCACGTATTCATGTCATTTTATTGGGCATTTGAAAACTTACATTTAAAGACCTAATAATCCCCTCTATTCTTCTTTTTTACTGGACTTCAGATACATAACTGTGAGGAAATGAAGCTATTAATACCAAATTAATAAAGAACATATGCATATAATGTAGCTTTGCTAGTAAAATTTATAAGCTTATAAAAGCATACAATCACCTCCCCTCCAATCAACATTTAAATTAATTGGTAGCAATTCCTTGCTCATTAAAAAATATTTTCAATAGGAAGCAATATTTTGAAAAATGGAAGGGAAGGCTCAAGTCACAAAGAGATTTGTTAAATTATTTTTATTTTTATACAGTTATATTTCTACTTTATTTTTATGCTTATTATTATTATTTTAATGAAATTGTAGTGTGATTTTTGTGACATTAAAAGTTGAATTTATTTCTGCCTTTGTTGGACTGAATTTAAAGTTGCTCCTTATGCTTTAAATTTTATATGTAAAGTAATAAAACATCTAGTCTAGCAAATGTCAGCCTAAGTGAATAAAAAAATTCTCCAATATAAGGAATTGATGAAAATAGAAAATATGCATTTATAGTGCCATCTTAATTTAGAAAATTGACTTCTTTTATTAAAGCAAAAATAAAAATTTATATTTAGAAAAATATATTTTCTCTTTTCCTTTTCACTGAGTCCACGGATGAAAAGCAAGCAAAACATATTTCTGAGACACACAAAATTATGTGTATGTGCCTATACTTTTATATAATGTAAATATATGATATAATAGGTTTAACATTTTAAAAAAAATATTTTAGCACAACTGTACATACTACCATGTATATTAGTATATTTTTATTTACTTTGTACTGAAAATATTTTTGTTTCACACATTATTAAAATGCTTAAATTTATTTCAAATCATGGATTTCAAAAGGATACAATAAAAAGTAAATCTATTTCAGTAATTATTATATTGGACAACTTTTGAGGTGATTGTGTGACATAGATAATTACATCTAAAAAAACGAAGACTAAACTAAAATTTCTTAAGTCAAGTTTGTTGAAACTTTTATAGACTACATAGGGGCAGAATCATTCCATGATAACTTTTAGATCAAGTGTATTGCACTGAGATCAATTATTTTTTGGTGTTGTTGTTTCTGTTTTAAAAACTGTTGGTCATCACCGTTATTATTGAAAAATTGACAGTCCTAATACATTATCTTTTCATAGGACTTTCCTTGTACACCAATAGGGGGGCCTGCATGCAGGTGACCTATCCTATTGCAAAAACCTTGTCATAGGCAGAATGGTCTGGGATCTGACAGGTTTTGACTCATGACTTAGGTCTCACTATTTTGCAATTTCTTTTGTGGCAGAATGTTCAAACTTATTGCTTAACAGTAAACACTCAATATTTTTTCTGTGCAATTGAATGGGTGAAAGGAAAATAGAAGCAAACTATCTTATGCAAAATTGACGATCCTGGAACTAGGATTGGCTTTCATTTTACCTTTTAAAACTCTTCATTACACAGTGAGGGAAAGGATTTTAGCTGTAAATAATGATTTCTCCTAATATAAGGCATCATTCAAGAATGACAACAATAAAGATATAATTAGCTATCCTTGTAGTCAAGTTTACCACACATCCCAGGAGTAAATATATTTATATTTTTCAGTATCTTTGAAACTCAGGTCCAGTTGTGAGAGTCAATTGCTCAGGAAAATCTTTAGAGTGAGTGATCATATCCTGGGGCAAGAGGGTCGGACTTAGTTAACTCACTTGAAGTAATAAGCCTGACCGAATGAATTCAAAGTAGTAACCACGTATTCAAGGAACACAGAATGGAAAGTGTCACTGAGACCAGTCTGGTAGCAGTGATTCAATACATACATATCAAGGCATTACCCCAGAAAGAAACACACAACACTCTTCCAAAAATTCTCTCTCAAGGCATGCACATGCAAACAAAGAGAAATCCAAGACTCACAGTTCATTTGAATTCACAGGGGAAAATTTTCGGGATGAATGTTGCTTTGACGTTGTCTTACTGATGCTGAGGGAAGCCAAACCTGTTTTTAATTGCAAAGCCAAATGGTTTATGCATGGACTCTGCCATGCCTGTGAGAACATGTTGCTTTTATAGCCCCCTCCCCCTCCAGGAACACGAGACGAGGCTTGCCAACACTGTGTTTGAGCACGGTCACATTTGAAATGAGAAATCTGGCAGGTATTTTTAAAGGGGGAGGTGTCAATCTGTCAGAGATGTCACTATAAGTGGATCTATCTGCCTATCTGTTACCACTTGCTAATTATGGATTCGGGTGATAATTGTCATAAATCTTGCCACAAAATGTGCAATAAAATGTATTTTCTGGGAGTAGAGGGTGATGTGTGATGAGGAAGAAGCTAGAATAAGGGCTCATGATCAACAGATCACAAAGCCTGTGCTGTAGAACTGTTTCACTGTTTAATATTCCAATGAATACACATATTGTTGCATGTGTCAGGTTGCTTCAGGCAACATTGCTGGCATTCCATTATAGGAATGGTGAGTGTACACAGAGCAGAGTCTGTAGAGAAGTTTTTCTTGAGATGGCCAAAATGGCCCTCAGGAATACTCTGTACTTTTAGAACTGACCTGGAGAGGACTAAGAAAGTAAAACAGAATAAATGACTAATAAAATAAGTGTTTGTAAGGAGCTGACCAATCATGGCAAAGTTAGATCCTGGAAAAAATTTTGAAATGGCCTTTAAATATTTGCTGTTCCAAAATTATTTACAAATAAGAAGAAAAGAAGTCCCACATATGTAAGGAAAATCTATGCTCTTTTAAGAAAGGTTTGACAATAAAAGGTGTAACTTAAAAAAAGTTTCTGCTTCTGTATCCAGTTCTTGAAGTCCTTGCTGCCACCAGCTGCTGACTCATTAATTGCCCCTGTCACCTTATCTCATCCTAATCTCTGCTCACTCTTCCCTCACCAGCTCTTATCTACACACACACACTCACACACACACACACAGTCACTTTAAATTTACAACCTGAGTCCAAATGTTAGGTGTGAGAAGTCCACTCTCTCCTTGGAGACATAAATTGGTACATTATTCTAATCTATATATATTAAAGCCTAAGTGACCATTACCATTGAATGGCTGGAACGACCGGAACAGCCAGAATGACTGGAATGACCGGTCGACGAGTCGCTATGACATGCACTGACCACTAAGGGGCAGACCCCCTGGTGGTCAGTGTGCTCCCATAGCCAACCTCCCACAGCTGGCCAACTGCCCATGGTCCCTTCACCCGGCCAGCCTCCATTGGCCCCTGGTGCTAAACCATTCATAGAGGACTTGCTTCTGGGTCAGGGTTTCGTACATAGCAGAGCAGCTCCCTTGCTGTGATCTATTGAAAGTCAGCCCTCAGCACAAGGGTTTGTCTCGCTCCAATCCTCTCCCTTCCCGGGGGGCCTCCCGCCCACCATAGTGGCAGCACTGTGGCGAGGGAAGGAGGGGGTGTGTGGTGGCGAACTGCATGGTGGCGGGGCACCAATGGCGGCATCGGTGTCCAGTGTCTGTTCCTTTTGCACCTGGCCCAATGACCATCACCTCCTCTCTGGACCCTGAAGGACCTGGGCTGAGATGGGGAACCGGGGGTGGGTGGCAGCAGACGCAGCCCCTTTCCCAGGGTGTCCAAGGGCCGGCTCCCTCCTTGGGGCTGGCAGCCAACCTCCCACAGTCCCTCTCCCCCAGCCAGCCAACCTCCGGTGGTCCCTCTCCCCTTTTGTGCCCCCCAGGCCAGCAGGTCTTAATGGCCCCGCCCCAATAGGCCTGGCCCCAATTAGCCGGCCCTGATCGGCTCTGATCACCAGCCAGGCCTAGGGACCCCACCCATGCATGAATTAGTGCACTAGGACTCTAGTATTCTATGAAAAACTGTGGGTTTTCTTAAGGGGAGAGACATTGACTTATTATCCTCTATCCTCAGATTAAGTGCTCATTTAATATCGAAGGACAAGGGATTCCTCCTAAAAATACTTCCTCTGAGAAGTAATTTTTAAGAAAAGTTGAACTCCTAGCCATCAATGGATCAGGATGCCACTGGACATTGACACTTACCACTCTTGATGCAATCAAGCAAACGGCTCTTGGCTGTTAGAGGAAGGGAACCATAGAATAAAGGAAGCATAGTTCCTACCTATAAGTATTTTATAATCAGATTCAGACAACAGAGTCTAAGAAACTACACGCCAAGTTCTCTATTGACACAAATGCACATTTAACAGAATTCACCGGCTAAGGCTTAGCAGTGACTGGTTCAGTCAACTCCAAAGGAAGAGGAGACTAGAGCATTCTAACTCAGCTTTCAGTACAAAATGTTCTTGGGTAACTCATTCTTTTGCCCACAGTCCACTCTATGTACATAGATTGGTATGACTCTGAATAATAACACAGGCATTTGCATACTTTCTGTGTTTGATCATGGTCACATTTGAAATGAGAAGTCTCACAGATATTTTTAAAGAGGAAGAGGCACTTGGAGTGCCTACCTTTTACTTCTCATCATAGACTAGAACTGTTTATGTCAGGCTCCGGCTCACCTATGAAATTGTTCTCAATGAGAGAAGCAGGTACTTAGTCATAGTGCTTATATCTATTGACCACACCAGGGCACAGCTGCTTTATAGCCTTCTTTGGTCTTAGTCTTAATCAAACATTCAGAGGATGTAACATCAATATAGAACTTAATACTATAAACACCTTGAAGGCAGTTATATATCATGGATCTACAAAATATACAGCAAGTATTATAGAAACAATATGCATATATTACAGCCATACTATTTGCAGGTATTACTGTCACATTTATTTAATAAAATGAAGAAATGAGGTTCAGAAATCTTGAGTGACTTGGTTAGAGGTATGTGATAAAAGCCAATTTGGGAATCAAACTCTGGTCTGTAAAACTATATTGTCATTTATGGCTTCCATTTCTCTCTCATATAGATAGACTGAAAGGTGCCATGAGGTGGAAGAAGAGATTTGTTATTAGGTAGTGTATCTTAGGTAGAATCAGATTATTTGCTCTTGTATTTAGTTCAATGGGATAATAAAATGACAAGTAAACAGCTCTCTCTACATTAGGGACTGGGGAGAAAAGGTATTGTTATATATGTGTGGAAAGGTGTACGAAGGGGATGAGGAAGTAGATTTTGGGAAGAGGAGATGTAATTTAATAGTGTTTGTGAATGACTTACCACCTGCCAGGTCCTGTGTTCAGGGTCTGAATGTGACAAGATGAATGACACTGGTTCCTTGTCTTCATCATCCAAAAGAGACTTAACTGTTCAGTGAGGAAGTAGACACATAAGATCTTGTCAACATGGGATAAGAAGTGATCTAGTAAAGCTCACCAAGGACTCTGGGAAGACAGAGTGAAGTGATACAGTCTGGCCAAGACAAGGGAGGTGTAGTGAATGGAGTAACAGGAATAGGGATCCAATCTCTCCAAAGCAGTGGGAGCATAAATTGTCTTGCCTTCCAAACACACCAGGAGTTCTCTGAACTATGTAGTGACCCAGGGCATGTGGGAATGAACTCAAATATAAAAGGAGAGCCTTGGAGACACTCTTCTTCTCAGGCACATGGAACTTGTCAACTAGGGCTGGGTACATACATAATATGCAGGCCCAGTGCAAAATAAAATGCAGGGCCTCTTGTTCAAAAGGCAGGAAAAGAGTACCATTCAATGCACTAACATATGAAGCTTTTCTCTTTCTTCCACAAACCCTCTCTGTCTCGACTGGTCACACTGTTAATTGCTATTTGTCACTCTAGGTAAAGAAAATTTTAACCATGAGAATGAATTTTATCATTTATCTTTATATTGTGCAATGCCAGTTTCAGTACAAATATAAGAAAATTCAACAATTACACAATGCTTATTATGTGGCTCATATTTGCATTTGTACTGTATTCTTACCAGACAGTAAAAATGCTTCAGAAAACTAACTCAACTATTTTTATTTCAGTTCTTCATATATGCATATTCTAGCATCTTATCTTATGCTCTCTTCCAGTCTCTCTGATTCCATACATCAAGCATGTCAAACTCAAAGGCTAACATGGGCTAAATAAACAAGTTTTAAGTTTATGTGGGCCCCCAAAAAACAAAAGCTCAATTTTCATAGAAACGTAGATTTATTTTGATAGGGACATGCTGAATACAAAGGGCTGAAATAAATGAGTAATCCTTAACCTAAAATAATAGAACATTTTAATAAAAATTAATATTTTTTTCTTGAACATTAACTTACCAGACACTGAATAACTACACAAATTAAGCATAACGCAAATAAACCTATTTTTCTTGTTCTCCGGAAGCGAAATATTTCCTGTTGTGAACACCAAACAATTCAGTCCAAGACTAATGACATGGCAATAGGCTGGTAAAATATTTGCTGCTAGTATTAGTGGAGTGAAATGGTGCACCTGTATGTAAGGCATGTAAGGGAAATAAATACAACACAATTATAGTAATCAGTCATTAGTGAACTTTATAGTTTGTTATTAATAATTATGTATAACAGGATATTATAAAAATTAAGTTACCAAATTTTTATTAAAATGTTTCTTACATACCGTTATATTGGCTGGGCCACAAAAATATTCATTGAGGTCTGCATGCAGCCTGTGGGCCACGAGTTTGACATGCTTGCCATACATCATGGGTCACGGGTCTCACAAATGCTATATGTGAATAGGGTGACAAGGGTTGGAGGTAACATTGTATGTGACCCATCTACTTATATTATCTGCTGTCTCATTGGATGTTACTTAGGAAACATTCATTCAAAGATACAATTATTAATAATTTTGAGAAGTGACAGCAGAGCATGAAATCAAGCACAAGGTTCCTTCTAAGCATGGAATCTGGGGTGATTGCACAGGTTGTAAGCCCACGAAGCTTGCCTTGCTGTCAACACAATTTCATCTTAGACAAAAAAGCAAGGTCAAAAGATCAAGCTGAATTCTCTGCTCTTTGACTCTTTGGCTGAGAGATCAACCATCCTTCATCCTGCAAAAGTCCTAACCAGAAATACAAACTGATTATTTAGAAGGAAGGATATATCATTGCCCAAAATGTATTCGGGTAAACTTGAACAGAAGACCAGCTGGGCATGCACACGCAGATTTGAGCCTCCTGCCCATCCTGTAGGTTCTTTGCACGGGACAGTTCAAATTTTTCTCATTGATAATAATAGGGTAAGGGAAGAATGAGAGTCCTCTGATTGTTTGACTTTTCTGGGAACTCAAATGACAAGATAAGGAGCCTGGGAACAATGGAGAGGGAAATTCTACGAATATGCTACGCTGCTTTCCTTTCCTCCAAAAACGTCATGCATGCATAAATTGATTTTCCTACTGTGCTAGATTTCCAACTACAGGCTGCATCACAGACAAATTTTGGTTCAGTTTCCTCCTGGTCAATCATTCTCTTTAATCTCATACCCCAGTATCCTATATGGATTCCCCTGAGCATTCAAACTCCCTGGTGCCCAAATCTAAGTTGAGTTATCCTTTGGGGGAAAAAAACCTCACATTTTTATAGATGTTGTTTATTCTCATTTAATGTATTTTTCTTAGAACATTGATTGTCCCAGTTTTTTTTTTTTTTTTTGCCAGCTTTGTATTCTACATTTTGAGAGGAGGAAGAGCATAATTTTATTACTAATAATACAATTAATTAATTGTTTTTAAATGCTTATTATGTGTCAGATACAGTTCTAAGCACTTTACGTACGTCAACTAATTTTGATACCCACAATGATTCCGAGGGGTTGGCGCTTTTGTTAAAACTATTTTAAGCGCAACGGTTCTGCAGTCAGGGTCTGAATCCTGGTTCAGCCAGCATTAACTGGGAGGCTGTGGGCAACTCAGTCACTTTGTGCCTCAGTTTCTTCACTGACAAAATAATAGCTTCCTCATAGAGTAATTGCATTAAATAAGGCCATAGGTGTAAAATGTCTAGAACAATGCATAGCAGATAGTAACACTCAATACATGTTAGCTATGCTTATTATTTTGTTACTCCTTGTCCTGAGTGAGGGCTTTCTATTGAGTGTCTGTATGCCTTTGGGTTAACTATTTAATCTCTCTGGGCCTCTTTTTCCTCATTGCCAAAGCTGGAAAAGTATGGAATTTTGGTAAAGATTAATTGAGGCAATGCATGGAAAAGGTTCAACACAGAGCTGGGCGTGGAGTAAATTCCTCATTCTCACTTCACTGATTCTTGATAAAATTATCATGTCTCATCTTTCTTTTTTTTAATTGAGAACTAATTTATTGAGAGCAACTGTATAAGCTTAAGGTGTACACCAGTTATTTGCAACCAGTGTGCCCTAAGAATTTTTTTAAAACATGCAATACCTTACTGTTTAGTCAGGGGCACTGACCTGACCTCTTTTCTCTTAGATTGTTAAATAAAAGAATGACAACAGCCAACACAATAGCTGTCTGTCATGAATAAATCAAAATTATACCTATTTTTTCATATTGGTAAAAATATAATATATTATTGGTGTGCTGCACAATTTTAGTAATTATATGTGCCATGAGATTAAAAAAATGGTTAAAAATCACTGTTGTACAATGTTGATTTGATACATAAGATTAACTAACAGCTTTATCTTTTCTTTTTTTTGTGGTAAGAACAATTAAGATCTGCTCTCTTAGCAACTTTGAAGTTTATAACACATTATCGTATTGTTCTTCATTAAATATCCAGAATGTATTTATCTACTATTTGTAAATTTGTACCTTAATGTTTGTTCTTGAATCATTAAAATATCCATAGCAACCTACATGAATCATTAAAATATCCACAGCATCCTACATATAGTCTCATGCTTAACGTTTTTTCTTCTTTCTCTATAGACCCTGAGCTCTGTTCAGTTTTTCCTTCTCCCTCTTCTCGTCATTAAATTCTACTTGTACTTTTATAGCACATTTTTCTGGCACCTCCCTCCACACCAGTGCTCTGTTTTCTGTTTGGGTCCAAACAATGACCTGAGTTTATAATTTAACAGGTGATTCTGAGCTTCACCAGTGTGGCTGGCCAGCATTCTAAGAAAGCATTAAAGACGATGCGAAGGATGGAAGCTGGATACTAGAGAATAAATGTAAATTATGAAAGTACTCTCATAGATGGTAGGTGAGATTTTCTGCTCGCTTTTGGATGTATGAAATATAATGGTAACCACTAACACTGGTTTATCATTTCCTTTCTTAATCTAACATTGGTTTGCCATCTCTTTCCTTAATCATAGCTACTATTTCTTTTTTATTCTCCAAGTTTTTTCCTCCTATTTTATAAAGAACGAAAAAGAAACCTCATTAGATAGTTTCTTCAGGTATATTTAAGATTGAAATTTCCTATGTATTTAATTGTAGTTGAAACCAACAGTTACGTTTATTTCTGTCTCTTGAATACTATTTCTGATCAATAACTCATAATTAATAAATTTAGAAATGCAACATTTTATATTCTACTTTAGGCTACTCACCTTTTTTAAAAACTCAGTTTGCCTTGGAGAAAAATGGTACAATAATACTTTATTGTGGAATGGGATTAAAATGAATTAATTCAGGTTTATAAAATAAATTGAATTCAAGTGGACTACTTAAAAGCTCCTTTGAGTAAAACCATCCCATATTTTATAACTTGAAATGTAATTCTTCCTCCAAAGCAGGTTAGTTCAGAGCTAGTAATTCCAGTCACTGGCTTTATTTATATAACTGCTCAGGCTCCATTCCTGACTCATCTTTCCACCATCCCAGGGCCTCATTTGCTCAGACTTTACCTGCCACAGGCTTGTTGAGTCATCTAATTGAATGACAGAGAGCCACTTTTTCCACACCCTCAAATTTAGATTTTAAAGAGCATATGAATATAAAATTCATTACAAATGGACATTTAGAATTTACAAGCTTCTTCATGAGACTGATATTTACAACCTTTACTGGGAACTTATATTCAAAATTTATCAACAACTATAAAATTTTTTATGATATAGTGGAGTTCTCTCTTAGGAAGCAAAGGTCTTGATTTAGCTACAGTTCAACCAATATTCTATTTTGTGATTTTGTTTTGATTACATATCCCAGTCTCCTCACCCATGAAATGTAAAGAATAATATTACTGTAACTTTATAGAGATAGTGTGATGATGAAAGAATATAAAATATGTGGGGGAAACTTTGCAACCCCACAAATGAGTTAAGCCTGTGACAAGTGTAATTAGGATCATGTGCTGTAATCCACATGTACAAAGCAAACTGAAGATCTAAATAAATTAGATCCCCCCTTTTTGCATTATATCATCTGAAATATTGACCAGGCATCTAGAACAAAGTGTTTTTAAAATATTTTCTGGCCTGCACTTTCTTCCTTAAGCCTCAACTTTTTATTTCACTTCATATGTTCCATCACCACCCAAGATATTTACTGCTAGAGTCTTGTTTAATTGTTTCTATAAAGAAAGAGGTTTATAAATGAATTCCGAAGTTATCTTAAACAAAATCTAACTTGCTTTTCTTTATATAATACAAATTCCATTTAGTTGCTAGTTTATTCTTTCCAGAAGGGACATTTAATCTAATTGGCCATTTTAGAGTTAAGATTCTTTCCCCAGAGAGCAGAGCAGACCTTCCCTTATCTTTAGTCCACGAGTTTGCATTAAAAAAGCAGTAGTACAGCTGCTGGGAGGCCGTTCCCGCACCCCTAAAGACCAGTCATCTCTTTCTGAATGTTGTACAAAGTCTCTTGTCCAGATAGAAAGATCACAAGAGGTGGGAACTCACTACTCGGGAAACTGTTAATATATAAGATTTGGAAATGTCTATTCTGGAGAGCCTTCTACCAAGACAAGGAGGATCTTAACTATGTTCCCCATTAAGTTTTAAAAAACTAAGTCTTAGAAGGGATTTTTTTTCTTGTTTTATTGACAAATATTTGACATACGTGCCTGTTTTAGTTTAATATGTACTGCATAATGGTTTGATTTACAAATACAGGGTGGGGCAAATGTAGGTTTACAGTTGTTCACATGGAAAATAATATAATAATAAAAAATAAAACAAGGATAAACTGTTTTTTGTACTCACAATTGTAAATCTACATTTGCCCCATTCTTTATTGTGAAATGATCACATTAGATTTAATGAACATCTATCATCTCATATAAATACAATAAAGAAAATTTCTCCTTATGATGAGAAATCTTAGGATCTACTCTCTTAACAAATTTTATATATTATACAGTAGTGTTAACTATAGTTATTCATGTTGTACCTTACATTAGAATACAACTTTATTCATTCATTCATCATTGATGAACACATACGTTGTTTTCATGTCTTAGATATCCTATATAATAAAGAGGTAATTGCAAATTGACCATCACTCCAACATACAAGATGGCTGCTACAAGATGGCCAGCAGGGGAGGGCAGTTGTGGACAATCAGGCCTGCAGAGGAGGGCAGTTAGGGGTGACTGGGCCAGCAGAGGAGGGCATTTGGGGACAACCAGGTCTGCAAGAGAGGGCAGGTGGGAGCGACCAGGCCTGTAGGGGAAAGCATTTAGGGGCTTTTGGGCTGGCAGGGGAGTGCTTAGGGGGTGATCAGGCTGGCAGGCAGAAGTGGTTAGGGGCTAACAGGAAGGCAGGCGAGAAGTTGGGAGCCACCAGGCCTGGTGGGATCGGGCCTAAATGGGCAGTCCAACATCCCTCGAGGGGTCCCAGATTGGAGAGGGTGCAGGCTGACTGAGGAACAACTCTCCCCCCCCACACACACTTTGTGCACAAATTTTGTGCACCGGGCCTCTAGTTGTAAATAGTGCTGCTAGAAACATGAGGTTAAAGGTATCTTTTCGAGTTAGTGTTTTCATTTCCCTTGGATATGTTTCCAGAAGTGGTAGTTCTATTTTTAATTTTGGGGGGAGAACTTCTATATTGTTTTTCATACAGGCTACACTAGTTTACACCCCATCAACAGTGCACAAGGGTTCGTTTTTTTCTACATCCATTCCAGCATCTGTTATCTCTTATCTTTTTTATGATGGTTGATAGTCAATTCTATTTTCTGCTAATTCTTTCCAGTTGTCCACCCCCTCAAGCCCACTCTTTCATCCATTATTTTTCAGGACCCACCCCCAAACCTACTGAAACTGTCTTAAAAAAATCCAGATACCTTAATGATTACCTCATCTCTAAATGTTGCTCCCAAATTTCTTTGTTACCGTGAGTTTCCATTAACTCTATCTCATTCATCTGCACTTTCTGGATATTAAGCAAGAGAAGAAAACATGGATAAAAATAGGTGGTCACATGGTATAAGTGAAGGGAGATGTCATGAGACAGAACAAGAAGAGGGGAGGTTGGGTTGAAATGATCAATTCTGCATCTGAGGAAGCTGGAAAAAAATAGTGAAAGATGGAACCATCAGTCCATGGTAACACAGAACAAACAAATATTAGAAGCAGAGATTTCACTCAAGAAAATAACATAGGCAGTGGTGTTGGTGGTGGTGGAGTTATAACACTCCTGGGTTACTCTTATAGACTTGGTACTGTAATTCATATGTAGAACAATCTCTTTAGTGTGAAGATAGGTCACTCACAAAATATTTACTTGCTTGCTAATCCATTTATTTTATGCCAAGTAATCCTAATGCAGAAATACCCCATTTAACACCCAACATGTTTTCAGCAGTTCTTGTGTAAACATATCCTTAATTACCTATATGCCTATATTTGTAATTTTACCTTTCTGTTTTACTGTAAAAATTTCAAATGATCCTAGGTCCCACAATAAGGCTATTGCCAGTACTGTTCTTCTAGGTTAATGTTAAGCTACTGATGACTGCTTTCTAGATGCCTCTGTCCAGTCAGCTGTGCACCCACTGAATAGTTGTGTGGTTTAGATTAGATCTCCCCAGTTTGTTGATGAGAATGTCAGGTAGGACAGAATCAAAGGCTTACAGAAGTCTAGAGAGATTACATCTATTGCATCCTTTTTATCTACAAGGCCTGTCACTCTATCATAGAAGGAAATTAAATTGGTCTGGCATGATTTGTTCCTCTAAAAGCCATGCTGTTTGCTACCCAGTTCGTTATGTTCTTCTAGGTGATTGCAAATTGATCATTTTGATGATTTATCTTAGTAACTTCCCTGGCACTGTGTTTTTGGCTGACCAATATTTCCTTGTCCTTCTTTTAAAGATGGACATTTCATTTGCCTTTTTCTCTTCCTTAAGGATTTTCCTTGATATGTATAATTTTTTTTATCATAGCTGATTGAGATCTGACAATATATTTTAAAACATTCATTCCCATATTATTACAATCTTTCATTTGTGTAATTTTCAACAATTGACTATTAATTCCACCTATATTTATTCCTTCCTTCTATCAATTCATTGAGTCACTTATTTAACATTCATTGAGAATCTAGAATTTGAGAAAGCAATAAATTTATAAACAATGAACTTTCTTGAGAAATACATAGACAGTGCAGAAAACATAAAAATAAAGTGATTATAATACAGTGCTGAATGCTCTGTAATAGGGGTAAGACGGAACACCTATAATAAGCATTTATCCCAGTAAATCAGGCTTCTTAGAGGGGGTGATGTCTAAACTGTCTCAGCAGGAGTTAGTGGATGTTAGAGAAAGTTATGGGAAGAGAGAGAGAGAAAGTAGAATAGAGAGAGATTCCAGGTAAAAGGAATATAATTTATAAAGATACAGCTATGAGAATTTAGTGAGTTTGGGGGCTCATGGCAGTGGAGTAGGATTAGAGCATAGACTTTCTGTGCCTGGGCACTGGAGAAGCAGGATTGTAATAGAGCTGGAGAATATGGCCGTGGCAGACTATGATAATCTTGAATGTCAACAAAATAATGTTGGGATTCTTCTTGAGTGCAATGGAGGGTATTCAAATCTCATTCAGCTATCTTTTTTGTTGAGTAACTATTGTTTTAATAACATGGATGGTATTAAGTAACAGAAGGAGATAGAAAAAAAATAGAATATAATATCACTTCTCAAGTACCTTGGAAAATACTGAAGGAGTGAGGACTTACAGGCACAAATCAATTAAATTACAATATAAGTAGTTTAGATAAGGGCCAAATAAGTCTTTTGGAGAAGA